GTGCCCCCGCCCCACCCCCTGCAGCACAGCCCCTAGCGCCGCCCTGGGGCCATGGGGAGCCCTGACTGCCCGGGCAGAGCCCGGGGCGGATTCACTCTCGCATAGACCAGGCCGGGCCAGGGCCTCGAACACGTGGCCCTTGTCCTGCAGCCTCCTCAGTTCCCCGCCCAGGGCTGCTCCATTGGCCACGCCCCTCCAGCAGGACAGCCAATGGGAGGCGCTGCCATGTTTCAGCATCACTAGTTGCTGGGCAGAGTCAGCCGGGGCAGCACGCGGGAAGCGAGGAAAACGGGCGGGAAACGGGCGGGGCGGCGGCGCGCGAGGCGTCAACGGCCACTGAGAGCGCGAGAGGGGAGGGGCCAACTGTCACCGGAGCGAGGGGGTTGGGGGAGGGGCCAACTGTCACCTGAGCGAGGGGGTTGGGGGAGGGGCCAACTGTCACCTGAGCGAGGGGGTTGGGGGAGGGGCCAACTGTCCCCCTGCTTGGGCTGTCCAGCTCCGAGCACTTCTCCCTCCTAGGGGACGGAGCAAGGGCCGGGGGTCAGGCTGCAGGGCTCGCCCGGCCCCTGCAACGGCCCCATGGCCGTCCGGGGGCAGCGCTGCCCCCCAGGGCAGATCCCAGCAGAGCAAAGGGCCTGGGGCGCTCCAGCCCCTTCCCTAGGGCCTGGGGCCCAAACCCCTTTGTGCTGGGGGCGCGGAGGACGTGTGTCTGGGGGGTTGGTCGGGTGGGTCTCAGGGGAAGGTTCGGGGCTGGCAGAAGTTCTGAGGCCCAACCCCACAAACGGCCCTGTCCCGGCTCCCCCGGTTTGGTGCCTTGGCCCAGCCTTGGCTCTGGGTCTGGGTTTGTGAGTGTCCGTCAGCGAGTCCCCCTGGGCTGGGCACCTCCGAGAGACGTGTACCCCAAAGGGAGCGATGCCCCCCAGCGTGGGCAGGGACTCAGGCAGGCAGTCAAAGCAGGTGGGGTTTTTTAGGTGATCGGCACACGGCATTGGAAGCCTCTGCAAGGAGGAAACAGCCATTCGCTCCGCCCCCAGCAAACAGTGCAGCATATAGGGGAAACTGAGGCACACACAGTATTCATACAAAATATTACAGAAAATTCCCACTCCATCCCACCCTCTACCTCCCATCCCATCCTGATGGGCGCAGTGTGAACATCCAGCACGTTAGACGGAGCAGGGGAGGTGGTGCCATTGGGGGAGGCCGGATTTGGCCAGGGGACACGGACCAACGCTACATACTAAAGGCACAGAGCAGACCCCATGGGGAGGGATTCTGGTCACTAACATCAGAGCGGAGCTGGCACTGCAGGAGGGTAAAGGCCCCGTGTCCCATTGCCCACCTGTGACGAACTGGGCCTGTTCTTACTGTGGTCGGTGAATGCTGACAGGGGAGTGTGGCTGGGATAGTCTGCATTGGGGGATGGGTTTGGGAGTCTGCCCGAAGGCGAATGAATACCTGAGCGTGTAACATGAGAACCCAGGAAGGGGTTGGAGGCCAGGTGACACCTTGGCCCGGGAAACTGAACAAAGGCTGTGGGAGGGGTCGCTGAAGGCAGAGTGCTGGAAGCGGGCTGGAGAGATGGCTGGGAGGCAGAGATGGCTCTGATCCCCCCCAAAGGGGGGTGGGCTGGGATGCCCTGGGACCCCAAGCTGGACCTAACTGAGGGGGGTCCCGTTGTCTGTGCCTGCAAGACCTGTCTTGGACTGTATTCCTGTCATCCAAATAAACCTTCTGCTTTACTGGCTGGCTGAGAGTCATGGTGAATCGCAGGAAGCCGGGGGTGCAGGGCCCTGAGTTCCCCAATACTCCGTGACAATACCGCTAAAAGGTATCTCATCCGTATCAAGGGATCCCTCATTCAGGGGTGCACACCGCCAGTCGTAGAAGTGCCGGGCAATAGGGGAGGGTTAGAGTCCTCGCTCCAACCCGTCTGTTAGGGAAAACTATACAGATAAGATAGATACAAACTGTCTAGGTGTATACACCCCCGGTCGTAGAGGTGCCGGGCCATAACGGGGAGGATTAGAGTCCTCACTCTGACCCGTCTGTTGGGGAAAAATTGCATAGGTGAACATACCCTCGGTCGTAGCAGGATCGAGCCCCAAAGGTGAAGGGCTTAGCATTCCCCCTCCGCTCTGTCAGGCACAGTTTTTAGTGGGTTTAGACTTTTTGTGTCGTTTAAGGCCCAGCACAAGCGTGGGTGAATAAGGAGTAGATTTCTGTGAGACCTCACCCGGAAGGATGTAGGAGTGTGGGACTGTAGCGGGGTGGCTACCCGCTCCAGCCCTGACAGGGTTAAAAGCAGCCCGGGGCAGGGCCGGCTCCAGGCACCACACAAGAAAGCACGTGTCTGGGGCGGCACATTGTAAGGGGCGGCGTTCCGGCCAATCTTGGGGCGGCACATTCCTGCCGCCCTGCTGTGGTTCTTTTTTATTTTGCTTTACCAGCTCCCCCCAACCCCCGGCTGGCTCCCCGCGCTCCACAGTCCCAGGCCAGCCCTGCAGGGGCACGGACCCCAGCCCGGGGGGGCAGGAACTAGCGATCCCCGGGCTCCCCGGGACGTGCCACTCCCCGCCGCCTGCACCGGCCTCCGCTCCCGCGCCGCTTTGAGCCCAGCCCGGCCCCGTCGCCTTTAAAGGAGCGGCTGAGCCAGCACCTCCTGCAGTCCCCGGGGGCTCCGCCGGCCTGGCCGGGAGAGGCACCCCAAGGCCGCAGGGGGGAGCCCCTCTTGCCCACGGGCGGAGCGGGCGGGCGCCGCCCTTCACCCCCCTGCGAGCCCCCTTACCGCCCTCCACGCGCTATCTGCTTGGGGCGGCAAAATGCCTAGAGCCGGCCCTGGCCCGGAGAGAGGGCTGGAGGGCTGGGAGAACAGGCCAGGCTGAGGGCCTAAGCCCAGTACGGGGGCAGCCCAGCTATAGAGAGACGCAGCAGGTCCAGCCCAACCTTGCCTGGGAGGAGTGACGTATGTTGCAGTCTGCCCCAGGGAGTGGGGCTAGAGGGTGGCTGGCAGTAGCCGTACAGAGGCAAGGTGGGGTTAGTGGGTGGGGGTTCCCCGTGAGGGAGAGACCCTGAGACTGAGGGGTTCTGCAAGTGGGGCAGAAACCCAGTGAAGGGGCACTGGGGTCCTGGGAGGGACACGGGGGCCAGAGTGAGGTAAGGCGGATCACCGGCCTGCAGAGGGCGCTCCTGGCTGGAAAATGAGCTAATTCCCGAGGACGACCAGCAGGAGGCGCCGTAGGGGTGAGCCCAACTCCTTACAGGGGCATTGTTGTGATTTCACAATTTTAAGAAAAATGTTGAAGAAAAGGGAGCAGGGGGGTGGGGGCTAGCTGAGGAGCCCACTGTCCTTGGGACAAAGCCCGTGCCCACAGGAAGGGACGGGAAGGGAGGAAAGCAGGATCGGGCCCAGGCAGGCAACAGATAAAGAGTTTGGGAGCCCTGAGTGGCAGTAAGTGCGGGCGGGGGACAATACTGGGAATGGTGAAATCTGAGCGGATGGAGGTGACAAACCTGGCCTGCTGTATACGAAGGGAAACCGAGGTACACCACCTCCTGAGTGTAATAACTGAACAGTGAGATCATTTCCCCTAAATCCTTAAAAGGCAGAAGCCATTGAAACCTGGCCTGCCTCTAAACAAAAACACCGGAAAGTCGGGGGGTAAGTCCTTCGTTTTGCCTGCAATCAGCAAGGGTATTTGGCAAAGAAAGGGACATTTGAAGCAAAAATCTGCCACCCCAAAAGGGGTAGAAACACCCCCCACTTCGTCACACATGTTCCTTTTGTCTTTCAAAAAATCCGAAGCAGCTAAAAAGCACCCCAGAATACCGTGGATCCACTGGCGCAACGAAAATTGCGTTTTATGTTTTGTCTTGTGGTCTTTGTCTTGTTGCTGGCATTGTTGTCAAGGCCGGCTCCAGGCACCAGCCTGGCAAGCAGGTGCTCGGGGCGGCCGCTCCGGAGAGGGGCGGCACGTCCAGCTATTCAGTGGCAATTCGAAGGACGGTCCCTCACTCCCGCTCGGAGCGAAGGACCTCCCGCCGAATTGCCGCCACAGATCGCCATCGTGGCTTTATTTTTTTGG